CATACAATGCAACTGTTTCCAACCACAATGTAAAGTTACTTAATCTGATGTTGGACACAAAATGTCGATAACTCCTACTTTTCACATAATATGATATTGTTTACTAATGTGTGACGGATAAAATGGGCAGCTCATCAGTAACATATTTGACTATGAAACCACCCGATATGAAATCAAATCTTAACGAGTAAAACAAAAATCCAGCGAGACTAAGCGTATATTCTAGAATCCTCAAAACCAAGGAACTCACAGCCATAGAATATATTTTGTCAGTGATTTTCATTTTTCTCACTAACCAGTTCGTAATATAACATCAATTTCATCAAACGTCATTAAGTCAGTTGACGTAGTGAAGTTCATGATTCTTACATATTTTCGCCTGTTAATCCTCATGGAGGAGCATAGGTCACTTCATGATTTAGAACATCATAATACAGTTTCATGGAACCAGTGCAATTTAGTTACTTTTTCTCTTAGTTAATGTTCGTTTGGGATAAAAGTTTACTTTTAAATTGTATAAAATCTAAACCAATCCAACTTAGTAGATTTCTGTTATTCAGATCATTTCTTATCAGCTAATTATGTAAAAAGATCTTGTTTCCATATTGTTCTATATTTAAGCAAAATAATTTTCTTTATTTTTAATGAAGTAAACTAACGTTATTTCATTCGACAAAACAGTGAGACTATAATTTATGGACGACGTTAAAGTGACATTGAGAGTGTCCACCTAGTAACTAGGACAAAATGAGGGTTATAAACAAGCATGAAGAATTAGAATTATGATTTACACTTGATGATTAACGTTAGGCATTAGATTTAGCGTTTTCATTACAAACTGACATCAGCCATGATGTCAAATCTCTATTTAACCAAATGGTTGAGTGAATTTCGCGCTAAAATCCGAGACCTATTATCTTATACTTGATTGATTCGTTCATAAATTATAGTCTCGCCCAGAAAACTACAGTGTCGATTGCTATGTTAAGCCCACATATCTTACTCTAGCTTCCGGTCAAGTCAATTTATTCATTCCACTTTGGTCACATTTTGACCTTGTTAATTATTCGCGTATGTGTAAACATTTCTTATCTTACTCAACATATTTTTGTAATTTATTTTTGTTCGACTATAAATCGAGTTGGCTTAAATGCCTTCTCCACTGTGCATCGTTTCGCTTTGTTTCTCCTCTCATTTGTTTGCATCAACGATTGTATAAAATAAGAGTATTTGAAATTCATTCTCGTGTTTGACTTAGTTAATTCTGTTATTGACTAACGAGAGTTAAGTTGATAATTATATAACGAGGATAGTCGATATGAATATTTCAATAACAATCATTTACACAATCAAACTGGAGTTAGATTAAGGGCCACTAAATAAACATAGTAGGTTGAATCAACTTATAGTAGCTCATGTGTAATTGAGTTTGTTCACATTTAATTTGGTTAAACTCTTTTGTTTACTTATTTAAATGCTATAACTTGTGGTTTTGCACTCTTGATTCTTTGTTTTTCACCCCGTCGCCAATTGTTAAAACTTCTAGTTTCCACTTTTACACGTATGGGACGTTCATTTACCTTAGACGAATATCTACACTAGATTCCCCTCCCAGTATCTATTCTACAGGAAGTCAATACAACTCATAACGTAAATATATTTCCGCACCAAAAACGAGACACAATCCATCAACAATGAACAATTAATAATGAGTCATAATAATAAGGATAAGGGAATATATAACTCATCTAACACCTGTTAGACTATCTACATGTCTGACTGAGCAGACAACCAATCATTATCATTTTCGCACACACATCTTAACGGAGAGAGTCATCCGTACAATAACAACTTATCTACACCACAGTACCTTTATTATTCTTGCACTTGTATGAACATGTATCCTTGAGGATTGCTTACTGCTTACGCATACATTCATTATGCTAGCCTTACTGTTAGTCGCTTAATTGATTCGATGGTTCACTCATTTCCCTATATATATATGTATATATATATATCTTAATCCTATTCACTTGACTCGCGAACTTGCACGCTCACTCGCTCATTTTCTTTCCGGCATTAGACTTTCATTCTTGTCTGTAGTTTTTATTATCTGTATTTCGGGCAAAAATAAACACGATCAACACTTCTGGTTTATACACCATTAGGGACATTAATTAGTAACGGTTATCAGAACGAACTGTTTACGAAGTTTCAGGATCATATCGAATACCGACCACTACAACTAATGATTATGTGAATGTAAAAACAGTTTTTTTCAAATTTTAAATCACTAATAGTTATCCATCATATATAGTGATGTTTTGATGAGACTATAATTTATGAACGAATCAATCAGGTATAAGATAATAGGTCTCGGATTTTAGCGCGAAATTCACTCAACCATTTGGTTAAATAGAGATTTGACATCATGGCTGATGTCAGTTTGTAATGAAAACGCTAAATCTAATGCCTAACGTTAATCATCAAGTGTAAATCATAATTCTAATTCTTCATGGTTGTTTATAACCCTCATTTGGTCCTAGTTACTAGGTGGACACTCTCAATGTCACCTTAACGTCGCTCAAATGTCGTCCACAAATTGGTCTCACCGATGTTTTCTTTATTTTTAATAAACATTAATTTACTACTATCAAGTTACTTACTATGGAAATAAATAAATAAACAAAGGTATTGTACCGTATTTTATAATAAACGTTAATTTATAGTAAGCGTTATTTGTCTGTATTATATTTTAAACAGAAAAGTTGAACTAACTTTGATTAATCCTTGATGTAAATGAAATAATAAACAGTATAGGGTTGTGGAGATTATTAAGTTTTTGATTGATTGATGTCAGACCACCATTGAAAACCTGGAATCACTAGACGGCTGGTTCGTGCTAGTATGGGACTCTTCAGAAGTGCGCATCCACGGTACCGCTCGTGGAATTCGAACCCAGAGCCTGCAGTCTCGCACATGAACACTTAACTTCTAGACCATTGAGCCGGCATCCAACGGTATTAATGTCAAACCTCAACTAATCCACTACCCGACACAGATTAGCTTCACTGGTATAATAATGAACTAATTATACTATCAGTATTAAATTAAACGTGATATTAATCTGTTTTGAGCATAACACCAGTGTCTAAGCTTATTGTCTGACATTTCACCGTATTGAGGTAATTTTCAAGTTTTAAAAGCTAGTGAGTCAGTCATAATCAGTATTACAATCGTTAAAGATGTGTTTCAGTACAACTTACCAAATCAACAGAGACAGAGAGGATATGAAAAAGATGAATGTCAAACATATTGAAATACCAATAGTACTAATAATATCAGAATATATACAACTTGGAGAATGCAATTCTATTCAACTAACAATCAATTTATAAATAGACTGATGGCATATTATGCTCTCGACTGCCTACTGTGTGATGAAATAGGAGAAGACTAAGCATATATAACACATATCCTAGTTGCGTCATCTGATCCAGATTTATAGCTTTATCAACCGATTTGCGATTTTTGACAAATACATTACACCTAACCACAGAATCAGATACATCGTTCCCCCATTATACTTCGAGGATATATATAGATAATCGTAAATAATTCATCGATAGATGTCATAAAATTTCAAAGACCACTTTTCACAGTCACAATGTTAAACAGAATAGAAAGTTACTCAGTACATTTGCCTACTCACTAAATTGATGAGTTTCTAAGTAACCTTTTAAGAAGTTGCAATTAATTACCAAAATGCGATTGCCAGGGAAATCCTACTCACTGCCATCTCGTGACGAGGGTATTATTTACAAAATCGAGAGGACAAAAAGCGTATGTCGGGCGCTAAAACCGGGTTAGTAAATACAGAGAGTCCACCTAGGGGAATTGGAAAACCCTGATTCTAAACCAGTGGTGCACATGAGATCGACGATCCTGAGGGAACCAATTATTGGTCACCGACTACCATGGGACTGTATCTTCTGACGTTGCTCCACTGCCTTGTGGATCACAACTTTATATCGAAGGCTCGAGGTGTGACACCCCCAAAAAACCACCTGTTTCGATTTTGGTACCCAAACTGTACCTCAGCTCTCACACAAACCCGGTGATTTATGTGGCGCATACCTGTTTGGTGCTTCCTTGTACCAATGTTCATGTGTTTAAATAAGTAAACAAAACATGGAAATTCATTTTATTTCTGTGAATAGTATACAACATAAAAATCAATAATCCATACAAAATCCAAAATTGAAGCTTAATTATAAACTCAATCTAATAAAGGTTTGATTAAAACAAACAAACAAACAAACATACAGGCAAAGATATAACAAGCGAGAACGGGAGAACAAGACAAAGATAATATAAAGAATATGCTTTATCTATTCCTTCTTATTAATAATAACCCATGACAAAATTACAACCTACTCACTTACAACAATAACAATATTCATTCAATTAGTTGGTTATAAAGTTTACTTTGAATTGAAACACAACACACTGTTAAGATTGATTAGATAAGGAACAAAACATAATCTTAAGGGTTTAATAGCAATAATCACCATCATCATCATCATAATAATAATAGTAATCGTATTGTCAGAATCACAATGTTCAATAACAAGAAACTACAATTTGTAATTGATAGTTACAACAATTGTAATTCAGAAAGGTTATTACACAAAATACTTGTCATTATACTGATATATATGTATATATATAGATAGATAGATATAGATATAGACATAGATATAATGCATAGCAACTATAATGATCTCTTGTTTATTGATCCATTTTATATTTAGGGAAATAATATAGATTAAGAAGAATAGAACACAAAAACAACAATGACATCTATAGATTCCTATTGGTTAAAAAACGAGAGTTAGATACTATTAAGCCAAGAGAAAAAAACATTTTTTTTAAAAAAAAATGGGAATTAAAAATAAGTGAAATGAGTGAGAGAGAGCGATAGAGAGAGAGGTAATGGTTCAATATATGAATTTATTAGCATATATAATGAAAATTGTAAAACTGGTAATTAATAAAAATGAAACAGAATAATGTTTAGGTGATGCATTACAATAATCTTCATCACAACATTCAGTTACTAGGCCAGCTTTACCACCACGACGATCTTGTGGAACACAACTTGCTACACAATCTTTTGCAATTCTATAATTATCTTCATCACGATAAGTGTAAACCGTCTGAAAAGATTTTTTTAAAAAAAAATCTCGAATATATTATTAAATCTCATTGAAATCATGAACTGATGATTAATGTTAGACTACTATTGAAAACCTGGAAGCACTGGACGGCTAATTTGTCCTGGTATTCAACATCATGAATTGGTTGAAGTTAGAGATTAACACTGTTAGATGCCGTCTCAGTGGTCTACAGATCAGAAGTTCGCGTGAGGAATCGTGAATGAGCACTGCTTGAGGAGTCTCATACTAGGACAGAACGAACATTTAATGCTTTCAGGTTTTCGATGGTGGTCTAACATTGGTTAGTTCATGAAATTCAACAATCTCCACAACCTCAAACTGAAGATGATATATTAAACATATACGTCACCCACAAATAACTTATATCTACAATAACTTTCTATAGTCTACTACGGGGTTGTGACTAATTCGGTAGAAGACTTACGTATTCATAAACCTCACTAGGAATAAATCTAAGTATTAAATCACGGATATAAATCTATAATCAGTACTATACATTAACACATGTAAAAATATTCTTGGTTGGAATTGAACAATGAAAAACATTCAACAATGTCATCCATCTCACTAATGATATAATCCAACTCATACTGATGGTTTTGTATATAGTCCAAAATGAAATACTAATAATTACAAGTAGGAAGAAGCTTTTGAACTTTCATTTTTAGCGACTTCCACTTTGTTATAATCGTTACGTTGTGTTATGTAATGGATGTTCTCCGACAATAATTAAATTCATTTTGTCATTAAGAAACAAATTTAAAATGATTCACCGAGTGAAATTGTTACCAAAGCTATTGTTTAGTACCAGACAGGTAATCAACCTCTAAAACAGGAAAAAGAAAACTCTCTTCGATGAGTTGTCTACATCACAACATGTTTGTTTCACTGCAACTAACATGACCCTTGATAAAATATATAACAGTAGGATTCAGTCAAAGATTAACATGTGATAGTACGATCTAGTTCCATTTATCTTATAGTGTATGCCAATTTTCGTATGATGTATAATGAATTGTACTCTGTCTATGGTTATTTACAGTTAAACAGGGCAACCTTAAGAAGTGGTTCAAAAACATGATGTTCTGAAAATATTCTTTATCCAGTTTCACAGCTCTTTAGCGGCGTCCATACATAACTCCATAAATGATCAAACTCATAAGCTTCTGGATTCTCAGAGAATATGATATCTTACATCGAAATTCAGTAATAGACACTTACGATTATAACCAATCAGTGATGTCACACAACAAGGAATGGGAAATGATCTAATTTCTACTATATTTGTCAAGGAAGAGGATTTGTCGAGGAAGAGGATTTAAACCGGCATACAAATGGAACCTTCTAAGATCAATTTATAATTAAGTGGGGGTTTTCTTGGAAAAAAATGAGAAGCCAACATATTGACTGTAAAATCTGATAAAATAAACAGAAAATGATTAATTGTTCTGTTCACCTCATTTTCATCCCTTACTATTCTTCTTTTTGTCTGATGAGTTCTATTATATTACTTAGTAGGATTGCATTTATTACTATTCTTATTCCTAGCATTATTATTAATGATTACGTGACATGCGTTCAATTTGTTTGATCATTCATCCTTAATTCTGGCTATTTCACTAGCTCAAGTTCAATTTCTAATAGGATCCGGGCCATTGAGCAATTATTCTAAACAAAAAATGAAACAGAGATCTGCTACCCCGTTATTTTCAATACTGCTTTCATATATCAGTTAATAATGAAGATGATTTTCAATTTTATTATTTACCTTAATTTGTATTTAAGTTAAATGAAGTCTAGAACTCGAAGTAATTTTATTAAATACTTGAAAATGTAAAGCACTGACATATACCAAATCATACTTGATAATTGGAAGACGTCTATTTATGACTTAAACTTGAACCAATATCCGGCGCTCCAACCAGTTTAGTGGATACGGAGAACCTACCTAGAGGAATCGGAAAACTCTGATTCCCAACCAATGGTGTACATGAGATCCAGGATCCTGAGGGAACCAATTATTGGTCACCGTCTACCATGGGACATTGCTTCACTGCCTTTCGGATCAGACCTTTATATTGAAGGCTCGAGGTGTGACTCCCTAAGAGGACCATCTGTTTCGGTTTGAACACCCAGACAGTATCCCAGCTTTCACACAAACCCAGTGATTTATGTTGCGCATACCTGTTTGGTGCCTCGTCGTACCAATGTTTATGTGTTTAGATAAATAAAATAAATAACACTTTCCCCACAATAATGATTCAGTGACTGAAGAGAATTCAACTTTTATAAATTCAAGCTTATATACATTGCCTTGAATCAGATTAATTACGTGACACCCGATGAACAAGAACACAAGTGGGGACAATCGAATATATTTGAACACAAAGTTACAGAATCTCTTAGTAAAATCTGAGAACCATACAGTAAATATCAATCAATTGTCTCACAGTTCACTGTTCCTTCACTTTCATACTAATCGATTTCTGTTCCCATTCTTTCCTTCTTGATCATCTCAACATTCTATTCCTAACTAGCCTTATAAACTACTTATATCGATATAAGTAGCACACGCCACAACATTATCAGATCATTCATAATGAAGACTTTTGCTTCACTATTTTATTTAGTTCATAATTGTTATTGCCCGCTTCAAACTCCATAAATTCCAGTTATTGTGCTCACAATGTACTCATTTTAATTATAATGGGTGGCTTGTAAAGAGAAGCAGGATAAAAAGTCCGTTTAAATGTCAAGCTGTTAACTTTAGCATGAGACATGAACGGCATCTAAGCACCATTTCGGGATCCCACAATGCTTGTGCCATTGGAGACTCTTTGATAAACACAGTGTTTGTTATAACTCGTGAACCCGTGTGCCCTGTTATTGTATAACGCAGCGATACCGCCAATCACAGAGCAGTGAATTATCAATCGAACACTAATCTCAGCCTCTGCAATATGAATCATTTATTTCAAATATACTGGGTTTATATATCAACCAGACAGACCACAACGTACCATAAAATATGAAACAACATCTGTAAAAGATTTGGTCAAATGTGGCTGTCAATGTGGGAGATGGTAATTGATATACAAGGCATAACTCAAAAATGGTCAATGGTATAATAATAGTTGATGGGTCAAAATAAAACTCATAATAAGAGGGACATGAATATGAACAGTTTAGTTACATAACAATTATACGATAAAAATATACTCATAGTCTTGGTCCATAAATGGATCCTAAAAATTACCATTCATTATTCTTTATCGGGATATAACAGTATCGAAGGTCAATTATCTCGGTATTATCTTTTCCTCTGATCTCTCTTGGTCTTCTCATATTTTACTGTTATCAAAGAAAGTTTTCCATCTGATTCACTACATAAAGAGGCTGTATGCTTTTGAGATTAATGGTCATTTACTCTTACAATTTGTCAAACCCTGTATATTACCTATTATTCTATACTGTTCTCCATTATTCTTTCCTGGGTTTTTGAGAAAAGACTTTGCTGTATTACGAGGAGTGCTGAAGACAGTTAGCAAGGCATGTGGTGAATCTTTTGAGGTCAATATTAATATCGTTGTAAACAGACATCTAAAGTCTTGCAAACTTCTAGCAGGTGTTATCTACTAACCTTCCCCTTCACTCTTATCTTTCACCTTGTATATCTTCTGGTAGAACGAGACGTAATTACATTAAAATTCATGCACGTAAACAAAAGTATAACATAAGATCACATGAATTTACATGAACTTACTCGACAAAAATTACAATTAGCTAATTCAGTTATTTGAGTTTTATCGAATGGATTAGGACAGTCGGTACATCGATAACATTTAACTTTTTTATCTAAAAAGAAACAAACAAAAAACTTGATTAATATATAACTATCACATTAGTTGATGTCGCGGCTCGGATAGCTCAGTGGTAACGTCTCTGACTGTCAAGCTGGGTGACACGAGATCGAATCCGCCAGGGAGCACCAGTTCCCTCAAGATTACAGGTACGCCTTGCTGACGAGTGCCAAGTAGCACGAAACCCGGGTCCAGGGTTTCCTGTTGACTACCTCCAACCACCATCTTAACCTCACTATATAGTGCCCGCAGTGTCGAGTCATCTAGACTAGTGACCACATTGCAACATGATCGGTAGCATTCGATCTGCACTAATAAAGACTAGACAAGTATGACATTGATCAATACCCAGTGATAAATCAATTGTGACTTGGGAGCACTGGACGACCGTTTCGTCCCAACATGAGACTCCTCGGCAGTGTACATCTACAATCTCGCACGCGTAATTCCAACCCCTGAACATTGGTTCTCACGCTCAAACGCTTAACCTTTAGACCACTCAGCTGACATTCAACGGTATTAATGTCTAACTTTGACCATCTTCCATTATAGATACCTGTATCCATCTGACACAGATTAGCTGTCACACAGACACCAATAATACTGACTTCCTTGATTGTACAATAAATCAGCATATATATATCACTAGAACACCCGCTTTGTTTAGTTTTGTGAAAATTTGTATAGTGAACTTACATGCATACAACTGATAAAGCTTCAATGATATAAACAATAATAGTATCATTTCATCTAAAGTTGCCTAATTTTAGGACAAGATAAGTTACTATATTCAGTAAATAAACATCCCTCTCACTAGATATATTATCTAAAATCAGTTATTTATAATTAAAAATGAAGAATTTAGGGCTGAAACATGATTATTTGTTTTTCTACTATCTACTATATAGTAATGAGTTTTTGTATTGATTCACTAAATGGAGAGAAAGGGAATTTACATTGTCATTGAAAGTTTACGGACATTCTATTGTGTATAATCTATGAAGGAGAATATTTTAAAGGGAAAAAACACTGACATTTTTCTTATATAATACCTTAAAGGTGTGCCAACTTGGAGAAAGTAACCGATTAAACTTCTAGGTTCTACTTTGTTTATGGTTGATTGACTAGGACGTTAATACTACCAACTGATGAAATAAGAATGTCTTATATCACAGATTGACTTAGCTACATAACCAACCAGTAAAGGATAACTGATGTTCATCACTAATGTTCATCCCCATTGTGATCATGGATTAAACCTTGAACTTTCAGAGTTCATAGTGAATATTATCTATTTGAATAATTGGATCAGAACAAGGTATACGATATACTGAGGACGTTATCTAAACTTACCTTCCGTTTGATTGACTGTAACACAAGTTTATCAATAAAAGTTTACAAAGTTCTTATTGATATTAATTATATGGTATCGTATGGAACAACTACTTCAATTTACTTTGGAATTGATTGGTATTAGATACCTTAAAAACATTATATGCTGTGTAGTCGTTAATTTTGTACTATTGAGCTAAAATGAAACATTTATCTGATGCAATCTGGTTTCACATTATCTCTGTTAACTTATTATATAATAGCTATTAAGTTATATAATCACTATTGACTAATTTTGAATGATAATTCACGAAGTTCTTAAGTTAACTAATGTCGAGTGTGAGGTAGTTATTCTCCGAATGCATTGAAAGATAGTCGCTGCACATCGTGAATTGATTGAAGCTTAACATACAGACCAGTGAATGTTGACTTTGTGGTCTAGAGATTAAGTGCTCGTCCTAAGAAATGAAGTCCCTGAGTTCAATACTCTGTTAATAGGTCATGGACGCGCATTAATGAGTAGTAGCATACTGATGGGTTAGGTGAATATCCATGTATAGGACAAGCTGTGAACCACATGTGGAGAAATTCGAACGCTTCACTTCCATCTGAAGTTTGTGCTGATGATGTCATTCGGAAGAACGATGAAAGCTCCACGACCAAACCATCCAGCTCAGAGAACAAAACTCTATCAAAAACATCCACCTGAGCTACAAATCTTCCCCACCATCTTGAGTATCGATGCATCACATGCCTCTGAGCACATGCCAGTTCAAGGGCAGATGACAGGTAAGAGGTGGTAAAAAGTGTTATATACTTACCAATGAGTTTGCCGATACAGCATCCTAGTTACGCTTAGTTTTTTCACTCATGTCCTACGTTAAACTCGAGCATGTTAAGCGTGTATATCATAGATCTCAATCAGATAACTGAACAATGTAATACACACTAAGATGAAATAACTAGCCAATGATGAGATAAGTCTTTGATATAATTTAATGCATAAATATTTTCTCTTGTGTGTTAGAATGACCTGATGAAATTTGAACTAAGAATCAAACGAATAATGCCTTCTTTTCAGACTACTTAATTCACTGTTGATTCTTATTATGTTAATTGAGATAGGGAAAAAGATAATGAAGATGAATAGTGAAATACCACGTTTTACATTAGTAAATATTCCCTTTTTGTTTTATAAGGAAAAAAATTTATATGAGGTCAATGGTTGTATCTCAAATATCAGAATTGAACTCTATAATAAGATTTTTATGCTGAATGAAGAGATCTTAATTATATGACTGAATACAATATATCTTGTAGTCAAGGTTATTCAAAATAAATTTTATATATCCAATCTATTTTTGCCATTTTGTAGTCAATTAGCATTTACTTATCCAATAGATAAGTTATTAGATTTTCTCATATCCATCGAGAGTACTCCCGATCTTTGTTGCTACCTTGAAGTGGTGGTCGGGCCTGCGTATCGTGATGAACTAATCGAGTTATACTGAGTGGAACGATCGTTCCTCAAGGTCCTACGACACCAGACAGATCAATTGAAGAGCGGTAACACTAAAAGCAGCAAACTCAAGGTCTGAGGGCGAAGTCGTGCTGCTGACTGTACAGAGGTGTGGTGGCAGTAAGGTGTTTCGTTTAGACAACGAGCATAACAGCGATGCTGCCTTCCCATAAAGAGGGTTGGGGTTAGAAAAGGTCGAACCTAAAAATCCACATCTTGCCTTATCCCATAGATATCCGTCTCCGGCGGTAAAGTCTCAACAAGTGCGAAGGTAACACGAAAATTACCCACAAAAAGGTCGTGTATGATCGACCTCAAGCAGTTGTCCCTTGGGCACTGCGGTCAGTAAGATCACCTTTTATCCACTTTCCTTTTCAGGTACCTCCAGAAGAACTTTTCCACGGTAAGGGCAACCGGGAAGTGATAACTGTCCTCATACTTCTAACGGAACACAAGACATCAAGAGTACAATCAGGCTACTTATCAAACAAGTGAGTAATTATCTGTCTAAGTGATTTGGAAAAAGGTCAGAAAAATCAGCACTCAACTCTAATCTACCATATTTAATCGGTATTTGTCAAGTTATAGGCAAAATTCAAGCAACTTGAATGATATATCGTATATCTTTACATTTTGTCAAACAGGTTAAATCTCATCTCATGTACATCAAAAATGTCGGATGGATTTGAGACAACAACCATAGTCTTTATATTCAATATAGGTTTGTAAAACCTTTATCTCTTATGTGACGTAATAAAACTCAACAGACGATTCTAACAATACTTATACATTTAAAATCATTATTTCTACACCTCTTATAGTTTTCATCATTACTATTTTACTAAGTATACTTTCCGAAGTTCTGATCTACTTCACATATATCTTCGGTGAATTATACTCATATTATCTTCGTAAATTAAAGACTTTTCAGATGAATCATGTAGATCATAATTAAAAGTAATACCTCGTAGAGCTTAGTTAGGTCAGAGGTGAGATGGGTATCAGTAATCATGTCGAATAATTGCCATGTTATACCTTAAATTAACTGAAGTTAAGAATGTTTGACATATGACTCTAACTCCGAAATAGTATCAAGCATGTTCCCAGTACTTCCAAGTACTTAAGGATTCATAAGGAATATTAAGTTCGAATTTATATTGTCTCATTGTACGTTTATTATTTATTTCTTATTTATTTAAACACATGAACATTGGTACAAGGAGGCACCAAAAGGATATGCACCACATGAATCATCAAATTTATGTGAGGGCTGGGATACTGTCCGGGTGCCCAAACCAAAACAGATGGTTTTCTTACGGGGTCACACCCCAAGCCTTCGACCTAGAGATCTGATTCACAAGGCAGTGATGCAACGTTGGGAGATGCAGTCCTATGGTAGCCGGTAGTCAACAATTTGCGCATACGCCATTTGTTCCCTTACGATCATGGAGCTCATGTACACCATTGGTTTAGAATCGGGGTTTTCCAGCTCCCCTACGTGGAATCTCCGTATCCACCAACCCGGTTAAAGCATCGGATATTCGCTTTTTGTCCTCTCAATTTCGTAAATAACACCCTCGCCACGAGTAGGACATCCCTGTCAGTAGTTGTATACGCGTGGCCTTGTGGCCACTATCGGCCGTACCAAGGCATTATATTCTAAATATCAATGTTTTATCATTCTAAAACGCTGATGACTACCAGCTTTATTGAAGACTATTCATTCATCATTTTTTTTGAAATTCTCATATTATATATTCATCATCAAGTTCTTATGAAGTACTCATGAATCTAACATTTATTTGTTTAGAATAAATGTTAGAATTGGTTCTATAAATGTCAATACATTTCTAAGTGCTTGAATCTTCTCATAGATGTGCGGCCTGTATGAATTGCCTCAATATTACTATATGTCAAAAGAGATTGATCAATTGCAGTCCTCAACTTCAACATTGAGAGGATTCTAACACTTATTAGTACAAAATAGAATTTATCTCGCTTTCACAAGTGAGTAACTATCTGAACTCAGTAACTAAGTGCATAAAGCATTAGTCATTTAAAGTGAAAGGCATCGGGTTTGGATCCTGGAGTGAAAGTTAACACTCAGATCCAGGTGCATTCAGTTGACGAGTCATAAGCAGGAT